CTAACCCTTGCATTATTCTCTTATTCCCACTTCTTTAGGGTTTTGGACAAGCTGATCATTCAATTACAACAGGAATACTTAAGAAGTTTTTCCCATCATATAAATCTATAACATTTTCCAATGAAGGATACTAGTTGTAAAGCAACATTTATATATAGTATATCTTGTTACAAAATATGAAATAATTATTTCAAATTGTGTAGAATCATATTCACAACAAGTTGCATTATTTCATATTGCTGTAAAACACAACATGAACAACACTTGACAAATTCTACCAAACGACAGACTCAGTGCTCAAAATACTGTGGACATTTTAGTCATACAGTGGTACTTTGTATAAATAGTACTGTTAGGTATACTTAGGTGTCTGGCTTAGCTTGTTTTACAGGTGGTTCATCATTTGAATGGCCATCATGTCTACCTCGTTTGCCATGTTTCCAGTGTTGTTGTCTCTTTCCTCCTGTTATACAGAACAAAACACTTTTAAAGAACTTTTTGTAAAACAAAAGGGATTAGTAATAGTCACCAAAGAGATTAGTCCTAGCACTAGTCCATGTTTTGAACAAAAATAACCCATGTCAGATGACCACTATGCCAACTGAAGTACTTTATACTATCTAAACAACTAAATTTTTGTATTTCTTGGCAGAAGAGAGTATAGTTCTGTGCATATGCAAAAAGTATGCCTACATACTGTATCTATGCACCCTTAAAATCACCTCATTATTGAAACATACAGCACTAATAGTATATATATCATACCGGAGAATATAATATTACTTATTACGTACAAACCTCTCTTATTTCTCTGACGATGTTTGTCAAACTCCTCTTTCGACTTCTTCCAGTAACCCTTCTCTTCATCTCCTGTTTTAATTTATATAATATATTTAGTTTTAATGGCAAAATAACAATTAAAGCTTTAATTAGTAAGTGTCCACAAGTACCTTCAATCACACGTAGAGTTGTTTCTACACCACGTAAGTTTACTTTATTTTCATTTTTCTCCAGTACAGCCTTCAATGCCTTTTCGGCATCACCATCATTCTCATAGCGAATGAACCCCTGAAAATATGATTAACATTGAATTGTTATTTGAAGGACATTGCAAACTATGCAAACTCTATGAAAATGTTGCTAAAAGTGTCGTCAATAATGGAAGAGAAAAGAGAGAATAGTCTTCATTAATAAAAAATTGGTGGTCTAAAATCAAGTGCTATTCATCTTTGCCAAAACCATTATACACAAAATTTCATGGTATTAAAACCTACCTCTTTATCACCAATGCTGAAATCAACCCATCTCACTTTGTAAGTTTCCAGGGAGAAAGTTTCCTGGTTGGAAAAACATATGCAATGTTAAAACCTAAACATTATAGTTTTAATAAGGCAACATTTTGTATATTGTACTTTGATATCCTCTCGGGTTGTCTGATCCCCTGCTCCTGCAAAATGAATCACACGACCTTTTGGGCATTCTTCATCCTATTGGCAAGAAGCAGAATTCATCCATTAATCCATTGGAGTAATTGGCTGTATAAAATGTTAATTAATTAGCATAGAGTGACCCTTATAGGATATTCCATGACTATTATACATGAAAAAATCTGGAGTAAAATGCATCATTACCTTTTGAGTATCTTCTTTATCTGTGCTTTTATTGTGGTCCTTTCTAAACAGCAATAAAATTACTCATATTGTGAATTTTTAAATGTATGTATGCACATTGTAAGAAAAATCTTTTACGACAAAGTAATATTTACGTTGGCGTTGCTCCATGTTCGCCATTTTTACTTTCTGCTCTTTTGCCTTTGAAGTAGTCTTCTCTATATAATCACATAATAATTTCATTTTAGAAAACTAAAATATATACACAATGCTATCTAATCTACAGGGTTGTGCTGCACACGTACATTCCAACTTTAAAAAGACTTTTCGGGGCCTGAGTTCTAAATTTTCATTACCAACATCTTAGCTGGCACCATCATTGCCAACATCATCACTAATACATATCATAATGGTCATTATCAAGAATAATTATCATTGTTAACATCATCACCAATTTCCTCATTGCCATTGTCATCACCACTATTATAATTTCCAACCTAATATCACAAATAATTTCGAACATCATCACCAATATCATCATTGCCATCATCATAAACAACATCTTGCCATTACCAATGATCATCACATATCACCCATACCATTGCTAAAATCATCACTAATACTGGTACCATCATGACCATTATCAGATAACTTACTTGCTCATGTATGTGAGCTCATTGTCTTTGAATTTCAGATCCTTGCTTGCAACAAATGCAACTGCTTCATCCTTGGTTTCGAATTCAACAAAAACTGAACCTTTGAAGTTTTTCTTCTCATCATAGGTCCGTCTCATGACAATATTTACACACTAAACAAGGCAAGTAAATATATGAAGCAATACAGATTAATAGAATTAAGGGGGAAAATGCTGAAGTGATAGGATAAATTACTCTAATACTTATTCTCCACTTTTACATAATAATTAGATCACTATAATAACTGTACATTATCCCAGTTGGTAGGGTGCTGAGGGCTTAAAATAACAGTCAAGATATCTCCAGTCAAAGTATCTAGTTAACTAAATCATTATCAATAAATATGGCTGGTCAAAATGACTCAGGTCTTTATGATTTTAAGTATTGCAGCTTGTTTAATACACAAAAAATCAAACCTTTCCTTTAGATTCAAAGAATTCTTCGAGTTCATCTAAGGTTGTAGATTCTGGAAAACCTTTCTACAAGTAAAAGAAATATATTTTACAGGTTCATTGTCATATTGTAGGCAAAGTTAGATCATGCAAGTTTAATCATACAACTAAATATTTTGCAATGCTGCAAATAATAAACAAATACTCAACAATATTTTCATGCAACATACAATGACGATGATTTAAGGACAACAGTTGTTATAATCTACTTACACAGTAGATTGACTTGTTTCGTGATGCTAAGTTATATTCCATGTTAATTTCTGGCATTGGTTTTACTCTACGCATCTTGGTGTTTTCTTCGTTTATCTAAAATGTATTTGGAAATGAATGAATACCATTGGCATTTCGTTTAGATTAATGATCTTCTGGTGACACACGTAAGGGTGACTCTCTAGTCACACACGTGACAATGCTATTCTATTTTGTTACATGCAAAATATGAAGCCTGGAGAAACAGCAATGTCACGTGTGTGACCAGAGAATCACCCGTAACACTGCTGTTTTTTAGGCTTCATATATTGTGTACCGGTATAACAAAATAGAATAGAAGCGTCATGTGTGTGACCATAGAATCATCCTAAAACCATTGTGGTGCAAGTGTCTGATATTATGTTTTATTAACCCACCTCCATCAGACCAGTCCCATGTGTACGTAAAGCATGTCCAATCAAATCATAAACCATAGTCTAAACAGAAAAAATTACTTTCACTAATCGACCCGTTGCATAATAGACCAACTTATAATCTAGATAACAAGAAGGAAATAAATCAACAAATCCAAAAAGAGCATACTGAAATTAGTATTGTGCGAAATTAGCACTTTTGTATACTTTTTTACTATGGCCGAAGGCCCGAAAGCATGTAACTAAATTAGTTACACACTTTCGACCGTAGTAAAAAAAGTAAAAAGTATACAAAATTACCAACTTTGCTTAGCTATATTTTCCACACTTTACAATATTTCACAGCCAAACTTGGCAATTTTACTAAATAATAATAAATACTGCCATAGATAAAAAATATGGCACAAAGGTAACGACTGATATTAGTAAATCAATTACCTTCAAGCGGGCAAATGTCATAAGACAATCCATGGTTACCCCTAAAAATTCGATGAGTTAAGGACAAAAGAACAGTACTATCAAGACTTCTGCCGCAAATCGTGAATAAAATTTTGGCTTTGCATGGAGACAAGTTGTCAATTCTGAAACAAACACATGCACAGTTGGCAATATAGGAGTAATTTAACTTCTGGTTGGTAGTGTCATCAAGCTATCTTGCAGGATCTGAATTAAGCTCTCTAATGCTTCCTGCACACATTTTGACTATGGTACGTGTCATTTTCAGTAAAGTAACAAACTCCAAAGATAGCTTGCCTAAATTAATCTTCAAAACCTGTTATGTTAGTGTGCTAACAATTAATAGAGTAATCTAAAAATACTTTACAGCAAGCTAAGTTAGCTAACTTGACTGTATAATAGGATACAACCATTATCTTCTTCCAACTTTTGAAGGAGGAACTTATCCTTGGGTAGATTTTTATCTCCAAAGTAATACTAGGGAAAGAAGCATTGATCATATCAGACATTTGATTTCAGGGGGGTGGAACTGAGGAAATTGTTCTGAATTGTTCATAATCCTGTTTTTGCACAAGAAAAGGAACTCAGTGAGGAACTAAGTTTAAGTTTTAATGACAGTTTCAAGGGTAAAATAATTCATAAATTACATACATCGTAATTTTTTTATTGTATGTAATAAAGTTACAAATCACAATATTATTTATTTGTCACGTGCAGCCTATGCAAGTGTGCTCATTTTGCTGTATGCATACTGGCATTATACCTCAATTTGTTTGGCTATTTTCTTTTCAAACGAAGCACTCTTCTCAGGACTACTCATTTTCACCTCGAGCGGCCGTTATCCTGCAAAAAACTTTTTAAAATCGAGTATTTTCACTTTTATGTTTCAAATTTGAACCAAACCTCGTGGAAAATTGACAATTTACAGTTACTTCATGTAAGAACCTGTAAAATTCCAATATAAAATTGTAACAATAGCTACAGAATTATCCATAGTCATCCATATCATGCCCCCAATAATACCTGACAATAACGTTCCTAAATAGCAATGATTTGTCCCAATATATTAACATATACCCATATACATCCAATAAAATAATCCATCTCTGTATCCATTATCATCCATCCCTATCCTTGACGTTATAAATAATTTCTTCCCACTCGTAATAACGATACGTTTTACACACCGACCTCTTTTGGCGAAGTTTTTACTCTATTTTTTCCTCTTTTTGCTGTCTTCGTATGTCGGTTCAAAACTTCAATTCAGCCGGTAATTATATGTTTTTTCTTTCTCTAGTAAAAATACATCCGTAAGTTTTTCGTTTTCGAAAGATGATTGTGTTTTAGTGTTTCTGAATACTCTATATTTTTTAATGTTTATAACACTGTCGGTACTCAAAACCTCTTGTATTTTAGTTAGTACTATTCAGATTTAATTTCCGAATTGTATACCGTTCATTTCAGATCCATTTGCCGTCGACAAATCTGAGCAGGAGGGTCTCATTCATATCCGAATTCAACAAAGAAATGGCCGAAAAACGCTAACCACTGTTCAAGGAATCTCAGAAAAATACGACAAGAAACGACTTGTGAAGTATTTTAAAAAGGTATGTAGATTAGTTGGTGGTTATATTATGAAAGCCTTGAACGGTTGGTTTCTATTAGATCAGTCAAATATAGCAAGATCTTGTCTACTAGATTGTATTTACCATAAATTTACTCAGTCAGTGATGTACCTAAAAGTTGCCCTCACCATTAATAGTATACACTACACTGACTACAGCATACTACAGGTTGACGAAATGTTGGTACCGGTTTTCATCAAAGTCCTCTGATGGTTTTTCTACTTTCTAGTTTACCTCACTAATTTTATGAACCAACCTTTAGGCATTGATCATTACCAACAACTTTTCAGTAGGAACCAAATAAAAAGATGATTTTCTATCATATCACAATATCACCAGACCCTAAGTTAACATTAGAATATAAAATGGAAATTACTCTTTGAAATTTCACATGAACTTTTCTTTCATTTTGTATATAATGTATTTTTACGTACTGATTTGAATCATGATATGCTTTTAGAACTTCTCGTGCAATGGAACAGTGGTAGACCACCCTGAACATGGTGAGGTTATCCAACTACAAGGTGACCAGAGACAGAGCATTCATGATTTCCTAATTGAAATCGATCTTGCAACAAAGAACCAAGTCAAGGTGCATGGATTTTAAACAAAGAACAGCCAACTTTATTTTCTTCAGAACTTTTTTTTCTTAATATATGTGAATAAAAAAGTCTAGCTTTATGGCTGCGATGTCCTGTAAAGAATTTATATATAATGGCAGTTTTGTATTCGGCTTGAGTACTCCAAATTAAAATCAATAAAAAATGGGTATGCTTGAGTTTTGAAACAGATCAATCTTTGAAAGTCAGGACTCTATCTGTTTCTATTCATATATTGTAGACAAAAAGTTTTGCAAATACCAGCCTCCCCTCCCACTTATATAAGTTATATTGCCGTATCAGACACAAGTTGTGTTACAGACAAGCATGTGAAGCCACAGTTCCAGCTCACTGATCTGATAGTACTGGAGTTATAGCATCTATACTTACGAAAGGTGAAACCAGAATGAACAAACTTTCATTCCCCTGGACAGAAAAAATACTATATAAATAAAAGCCCTTAGTCATTAAAATACACAGTCACCTTGAAAGAGCCTGGGTGTAGAGTGATGTACTACATCTTTTTAATTAAGTATCTAAGTGCTATACCAAGTGCAGTGTATATTTAGATCAGTGATCAGTGTATATTCTGATCAGTGTCCCAGACTCCCAGTGTGTCTCTATTTCCGTAGTTCGAGATTTAACCAATCACAATAAAAAATTTCAAGATTTTGTTGTCTAATATAATTTAAATTGGACTGCCACCGATCCATTCTTCATGTAAATAATTTACACCTCATTTCCTAGAAGTATCTAGGTTTTTTAGAATTCTCTACGGAGTTTGCACTATCTTTTCAAAACGTGTAAACAAAAAGTATGATGATAAATTATGAATTATTCCTGATAACAAAAAGAGTAGTCACTAATACCAGGAAACATTAGCATTATTTTTTATTCCGGGAAACATTAGATTTATTCCGGGAAAGGCAGTAGGTAGTCTGTATAAGCGAAAGTGCCTTTCAGTTCGCGTCACTGGTTCAAAGATGTTTACTTCGAGGTCTCCAGCACAAATCCAACGTCTTGGTATTGAACGTGGCCTATTGGATAAATATTTCCCGAACAGAGTAACATGGATATCTCCGAGGGAATCGACGAAAGTCGAGGTGAGACTTGAGACAAACAACAACAAATCTTACACATTGCGCATCAACCTTCCTCAAGATTACCCGAATTCGTGCCCAAGATTGACAATCGTGTCGCCGAGAAATTTACGGCAGAAAAACGGTGATCCTCTGCCAGAAAACAGCTCAGAATTTCACACGTTGGGCGCTGAAGATGGTTGCATATCTATATGTCATTTTTATCCTTTGCACTGGAACGCACAAGATACGATGTACGAAGTTTTCATGAAGGGGAGATTGTGGCTCGAAGCTTACGAAAGTCATTTGAGTACAGGGCAACCTATCAGCGTGTATTTGCCCGAACAAGTAAGCGGACTAGAACAGTTAATTGATTTTCTGACATTGAGTATGGTGGCAAATAGATAAGACGGTGCATCAGTTCATTTTGAAAGTGAAACCACAGCCGGAACCGGCTCAATCATAAAACTTTCGCTGTATCCGGAAATCTATTATGAACTACCGGGAAATCATTATGCGAAAAATGAGCTTATATAATAATGCGGTAGACTTTAGCTGAAAATTTAAACGAGTTTTAGCCAAAAATAGAACAAAACTGTAGTTATTTTGTTGAATATAATCGAAACCACCCTGTGGTGAGACAGGAGAAAAAAATATAAATGAAAGTAATTCCCACTGTTTTCGTTAATAAATTTAAAGACATTAACTTATTTGGAATCATTTGCAAGGTCGTTATTACACTTTTTTAAATTTGGCATTACTCCATTAGCCTGTGCGAGTTCAAACCTTGCTTTAGTACAACGGGATCTCGATAAGCAATATATAACAATCCCTGTCAGTTATATAATGATTTATTATTAGAAGAGAATTAAATAACGTATATTAACTCATTTAACTGAGTATTAAAATCGATTCGTCACCTACATCTTATTTACAATTAATAATGTTATGTGGTAATTTAAATATTAATAAAAGACAATTGCAACTAGAAAGTACTGTCGCATTTTATTAATAAAGAACGTTGAAAAAATCTAAAAATTTTGACAACGAGTTGTCCGCCATCTTGGATTTCGAAGTAATGCAAGTTTTCATCTCGGCTTTTTAAAATTTTGAAAGAAATAAAAGCATTTCTGACAACTTTTGATTGATACTCGGTAATTTGGAAAACATTTTATAGGGCTAAGTTGGCTAACTCCACCTCCGAGGTCATCATAGTCAATAGTTTTAAAAAACCACCCACACGGCAGAATCAGTTCACTGGATTTCGAAGTGCACCTTAGCTATTCAGTGGCGATCTTAAACATCAGTGCAACCACAGTAGTAAACAAGCAGATACAAGTTCTACGACTACATAGCATCGTCTTCCTGTATTAACGAGGTCTGACTATGATGACTCCTCGACGAGGAACGGTCTTGCATTGGAAATACCTGACTAGACTGGACATCATCTTCCTCTTTTAAAGAGGTAAGACTTAGATGACTTTGTGATGGAGAACGTTCCTCCACAAAAGGAACGACCTGACCAGATTTCTTCTTTCGGAAATCATTAAAGGATGAAATAGAAGACTGACGGGGCGATGCGCCCGACTCATCTTTGTCGAAAGCCGTATTCACTTTCGGATTGACCCGTGTCCTCGATCTCCGAAGGTCGAAAGATATTGGCGATCCAGTTCGATGGAGTCTGGCTCTCTCGGCTTTGTAAAGCCACGTGCTCTTACGCTCACGAATTTGTTTATCTCTCAGAGCCGAAATCTGCTGTTCTAAGGATTTGGCGAAATCCTCCAGTGACTCGCGACCCTCCGTTCTGAGGTATTCTGCGACTCGGAAAGAAGGAATACTCTCTTCTGCGAAGGTAGAGACGAGATCTTGGCATTATTTTATTGCACTCCGTTTAAAACGGAATGTTTTATACAATAAGATATTCGTTATTAGAAGAATAGTAGTTGTTGGGAGAACAAACAAAGAATAGTTGTTGAGTGAACATTGCACTTCTGCAATTCAAACCGAATTCCTAATGATGACATAAACATTAGCCCCGTTTACATGCACTACACTGAATTTATCAGCACGGCACGGCTAAAATGGGCACCCGTACCCAATTTTATCAGTGTTCAGGCTACCAAAACAAAGGCCGAGTACAGATGAAATGGGTACGGGTACCCATTTTAGCCGTGCCGTGCCAATAAATTGAGTGTAGTGTAAACGGGGCTATTGATGCATGCGACAGGCAAAGGGCATGTTTTCGTACAAAATTTGCAGAAACATTTTTAGGTCATTTCAGATGGGAAATTAATCGGACTTCATTCACATAAATTCCTAAATGGGTAAACACAACATGTTTTGTGGATTGGAACTAGGAATTATAGCATGCGAACATTCATCACAATTCTACGATACAAAAAACTCACCCAGTTTCTCTTTTTTACTTTGCTTTTCTTTCTCCTTTTTCTTGTACCTTCCAAAATGCCAAATCAGGCCGAGGATAATTGCCACAGCCAACAAACTGATGGTCACTTTGAATGACTCTTGAAACGCTTCTGCGGAGGGATCGAATAAACCAGACGATTTCTCTTTGGCTTCATCAGCCTCGTTTCTATCCTGTTGTAAAAAATATTCGGCAAATTCAAGCATCGAAATATATTCATAGACGTTATCTTGAAAACAAACATTAATGTACAAATATTTTCCCGTCTATTCTTATACAGAAACAAAAGAAGTTCTTAAAGCGTAATTGTTGAGACTTACAAGAGATATGGAATCTGTATTTTCTTCGACAATCAACGAGATCTTGGTCTTTTGCGCAGCCAGAGCTTGGCGGAATAATGGCGCGGCTTTGGCCATGTTTCCAGACAGGACAAAACCGTAACCAGTTGGATATTCTATCAGGCGATTCAACTGGATATCTCCTCCTTCGAACATACTTTTCTTAGTTGCCGCAGCGTACATGTCAAGTAAAGCTCCTGACACCTTCTTGTTGTGCATTGCGTTGATCAAATCCTCCATATTGTTGTAAGGAACAACTGAAAAATTTTCAAAGTGGAAACGCAATGAGGCAAATTTCCGTGGGCTTGTCAACGTGGTTGATGCAATAGAATGCATGGGTAATCTCTGAGAATATCATTGTTTTATCATTACTAAATTATCGCGGTCACACGTCAGGATATCTATGAACAGGGCCTTCAGACATGAGGGAAGGAGGTGAAAGGGAAAGTGTCCCCTAAGGAAAAATAAAATCACACTTTTTATGGCTACGGGGCAAGTCTATATAGACTACGTGCACACGCGGTAACGTTTTCGAGCGTTTTCATTTTCGTTCTCACGCAAAAACTGGTTCAAACTGCGTTAATTGGCAATAGAAGTTCAAACTAACATATTTCCCTTGAATCGTGCGGACAGGGCGTCAAAACGTTAAACTAGATTTTGAAAACGCTGGAAAACGACGCTCGTGTGCATACAGCCATAGTATCTGGCAAACTTTTAACACGAATCCTATTCTAATCCTAGTCTTTATCTTTAAACGAGAACGCCTTACCATCTGCATTCTGTCTAACTGCCTTTGAGTATTCAGCAGAATTAACAATAGCCCCGACCTAAAAGAAAGTTGAAATATAAGATTGCATTATATGTACACATTGAAAAAATTATCCGAAAAATACTGTTGAATTTCAGCTAGATTGCTCTTCTTGAAAAGAATTTCTCTTTTCAGAATTCAGTCGTACAAAACTAGTTAGAATTACTGACAACTTCGAAACAACTTCCCAAAAATCATTAACCGTCACTTCTTTCAATATACCAAAAGTAGACCGGTGAGATGTCACTCCAGGTTATGCGAGATCATATGAACAGTCGCCATAGCTAGAGAAATACGCCAAAAAGGGTTTCTTGTATTACCTGTGCGCCATAGATTTTGTCTTCTTGAACAACCAGCACTGACGTAATCGAGGTGACAATCCCCCCCGTGACGATCGAGATAATCACGAGACCCATTAGAATCCAAGCCAAAGCAAACAGACGACCAGGCACAGTAACTGGACTGCGATCACCGTATCTGAAACAAATTATGAAGATGACTAAACATGCTGTTGATGTAATATCACCAGCCTCAAGGTAATTTTTTCAAGGATTAGGATTAAAGAAATGGACTTACCTAATAAAATTGGTAAAGAAATAAACTAACTTACCCAACGGTTGTCATGGAGATAAAAGCCCACCAAAATCCTTCTGGAACACCTTTCGTAAACGATTCTGGGAAATGTTCGTTGTTTTGTTTACGTTCCTAAGAAAATAGATGAAAAACTGCGATCAACTTCACGTCAAAATAACATTTTCATAGGCTTATAGAGCGTTCGTTGAAGGAATTGTACAGTGACAGTCTACGTACGAAAAGATTCGCTTTTAACTTCACAATCGATAAAAAAAACACTGGAATCACCAAACAACAGGACTAAATATTTTCAATTAATTTCCACTGACGTATAATTGAGAGATTGCTGAACAGATTCAGATTCAGTGAAAATCCAGGGAGGGGGACAACTGCCCCCTTTCAGTACCCCTTCGGCAAATCCTGCACGGCAATGTTCCACCGCCTCTGTTCAGTAATCTACCAACCTTTAAACTCTCAAAGCTTTTTTGCACATTTGACTATTGTCTCTACTATCTCAAATGAAGTAGAAAAAAGAAATAAGAAACTTTAACTGTTATCTCTGAGCATCTGAGCTGGACGGCAGATGAAATAGTTCAAACATTTCCAGCACTCACCAAGATCCAAATGATAATCCCAGCGATCCACGCGAAGAAAATCATCAACATAACCAACGGCATACACGCCACGGCCGCCTGGACAACCACTGTGGCAGTTGAGGGGACATTTTTGACGGTGAAGTACGCCGCACCGGGTGCATCCACAACAGAAATGTACGGAAACACTCCACCATAGGTCGTCATAAATCTATTACCCTGGACGGGAAAACTGACTTCGGCATTTCCACCAATATCTGTTGAAACGGATTGTAAACTGTTTTTCTGGTAACTGTTTCCTGATGAACGTCTTCTCCGACGTTTTTTGTCGCAACCCTCTTCGTAGCAAAACTCGGTTTTACCATGACCGTTTTCGCAAACACCACACATGTCGTCCAGAACTTGTTTGGCTACCATAAAGAAAATACCGCCGGGCGAATCGGGATTACTCATGTTTGTGTAAGGAGGTAAAACCCACCAATTGGAGCGAAGGTACTTTGGACAACGACATGTTTCTACAATAAAAATCGTGCTGTTTAGAAAGGCTTGTGGTAGACAGAATTGGTGCAAGTACCAAGTTTACCATTAGCATACAAAAAGTTCGAGTGACACATATCAATAGTCACAATCAGAATCTCACCACATCGCTGTGGCGATAACAGTGGCGTATCCAGTCTGACGATTTCATTTCGACCCTAAGGCTGTGTTCCGAGTGCCAAGCGGCCAGCACTGTGTGCTCGTCACTTTTTCGGGCACCTAGGTTGAGCACAAGAACGTGCACTACCTCTAGACGTAGTACTTCTGTTCTCAGTATGCTTACGAACCAGTTTTGAGTGAAGGGTGCTCAGTCTCACCGCAGCCGTCCATACCGACCTTGAGTCATTGAAATCTTTAAAGTGGACGTCAAGTCCGTAAGTAAACAAACGGTTTTTTTATATTTTTAACCTCACATACTTTTTAAATACGATGTAATGTCTGAATATCTAACATTATCTAGCATTCGTTTCAAAATGAATATGAACTTAAGTTTATACTGAGAAAAATTTTAAAAATGCAAAATTTCGGCAATTTTTACATCAGAGGACCTCACACAGATATGAGCAGAATCGATGCACAGAACGGTCTTTACTTCCATTTTAAACATTTTCTTGTTAAAAGAACGAATCCAAGAAACAGACACAAAGGAGGGTACGTACCAGCAGCTGAGGCGTTGCTTTTCGAGCCATTCTTAGTGGTATAGCCAAAGATACTGATCTCGTAGGTAGAACCAGGGTCAAGGTCTTTGAGCACCGTTGAGTAACGATTTCCTCTCACTCTCTTCGACTGAACAACTCGTTTATCGGAAGGTATGACCTCTCCAGCCAAAACTGTTGCGGTGTATTCGACGTAGTAACCACGTAAGATACCGTTATGATATTTAGCTGGGATTCTCGTCCATTCCAGCTCTATCTCTGTGATGTGTTTAAGCGTTGACATTTTGATGTCTTCCGGGGGATATTCCGGACCTGAGATAAATCATACACATATGTTATTGAGAGGATTCCTTACAGAGAGACTACTGTCTGCATGGCAAGTCATTCTTTGGTCGATTTTTATGGGGTCTGTCACTGGTAGTCAAAAAACTGTTTTCTTTAACTTCGGATAACATTAAACTTTGTCCTTCTACTATACTAAGCATGGGTTATTCTGAACTAAAAGAAGTGCAGTCATAATCCATTATTCCAAGCAAAATTTTAGAAAAAAGGTATGAGAAAAAATACCGAAAACTGAAAATTCATACTCGGTCGACTTGTCATTGATATTACCTCGCTACCAGCCTTCGCTCCCGGGATGAGAGTTTTCTCGCTGGTCCAAATTACCTCAATTTCTCCCACTCGTGCAGGCTCATATTGTCAGCGGATAACTTACATAAAATTAAGTGCAGTGCATAAAACGAAAAGCTTTTAATTTTTGGGATAAAGTTTTAAGGTTTCAGCTAATTCTTACCGTCTTCCCCAGTGGAGTTTATGTGTCCTGGGGGATATCGTGGGCCTTCACCCTTTTTGTTCAAAGCGCTAACCCAAATGGTGTAGTTGGTAAATTTCTTCAGACCTTCGACGTAGTAAGATCTTTCAGGATGTGGAATAATCTTGGACACGATCACATTACCAGGATTTTTAGTCTCGATGACGGTCAGTTTGTAACCAATGAGAATGCCGTGCGCAAAATTCGGTAGGACTGGATCCCATTCATACGACATGCTGGTCGTTGTCAAGGCAACGCCACGAATATTCTCAGGGTAACGGCTTGGAACTAAAAGTAAAATAACCGTGGATTCATAGATTTTGAAAAGCACCACCTTTCTCTATATTTAACGCTTTATCGCTTTATCCAGTGTATTTTGAGATCAGTCCTAAATACTGCCCCATATATAAAAATGCAATAACTATCCGTTTTCCACATTATTAAATACCCGTATGGTGTAAATACGAACCTTCTTCGTCTGTCTGAACGACGACGTTCAAGGTCACTCCAGTGCCAATCTTTGTATAACCAGCAATGTATATATCATACCACCACCACCAGAACAGTCCAGTCAAGTGACACTCCAGATGATTTGGATCAGATATTGGGAACTCAATCATTTGTTGTTTTCTAGTCGTATCTGCAGCACGATGATAAACACGATATCCAAGAAGAGTGCCTTGATGGTACTGGGGATCTATGGCCTTCCATTTGAGATAAATACTTGAGGAGCTGGTGTTTCTACCTTCGACCAGAGCGGGTGCTTTGGAAGGAGCTGGAAGAAAAGATATAATTTAGTAGGCAATACGTACCTAAAACTGTTTCTTTAAACAGACAGAAAGACAGAGGACATACGGACGGACGAAGGGACAGACGGACGGAGGAACAGACGAACAAAAAGAAAGACGGACAAAAATACAGACGGATAGTAAACATCTGAGAGACACACAGACAAGAACAAAGGAGGAGAAAGACGAAGGGACGGCCGGACACACAACAGACAAACGAAGAGGAAGATTGATTACTCACTTGACTCTTCCGTAGTAATGGATATCGCTGTGCATTCCGGGCCATTCCCAACACTCGTATAGGCCAGAACTTTGACTTGATATTCAGTAAGGAATTTCAGGCCGGTGATATTCACTTTTCTACTATCAGCGTCTTCCACATTTATCCACTTTACCGCTTCACCAGCAATCCCGTATGACACCTTGTATCCTTTTATGATCCCATGTCTTGCGTCAGGTCTCACTTCGTCCCATGTGAGAAGCACACCAACTGTGGACGTCATAGCTGATGCATTCACATTCTGTGGGGGTTCACTCGGAACTATTTGGGATAAACCAATTGCATATAACTTAACGCACATTACATGCACTTAACGCACATTACATACTGCGAAACACACAAATTAAATTGCAAGTTTGTGAAGGGTATTTGAAAATATTAATCTTCCATCACAACTAAGAAAGATGAAAATGGATCATTGGCAAACCATGGTATCGCCCTATGACAGACAGATAGGAAGACAGACGGACGGACGGACAAACAGACAGATAGACAGACAGACATGAAAGACAGACATGAAAGACAGACAGAGGGAGAAATAGATGAATAATAACATAGTAGGTGGATAAATGGACGATAAAAGGATAGACGAGTGGTGTATGACGACATACCATGTTCCAAGGTGACAAAACTTGTACTAGCTTCTTCTCCACATCCGGGGGTTGTTTTGGCAGACACGTAGACATAATACTTCGTAAAATGATCCAAACCAGTAAGAATGGTCTGCAGTTGTTCAACGTCGGTGACATTATGAGTGTTACTGGTTGATGCACCTCTTGCTTTATATCTTACGCAGTAGCCTCGTTGAATGCCGTGCCAATATTCCGAGCTCACTGTGGTCCAGGATAAATTTAACGATTGAGATGTTGGAGACGAAATGTTCAATATTTTCGGTGCCACACTTGGAACTGAAAACAGATGTTAGCATATAGAATACAAAGTTTCAGCGAAAGAACGAGTTTAATTACAAAATAGACCTGCAAAGTGCGCATCATTTGTATACATTCTTTTAAACTTAATTTGTTTGTGAAATTATGCATTAAAAACGAAGCCATACCATCTTCCAGTGTAGTTTTTGTGACAGGTGCACTTGGGATACCATTTCCTTTCTCAGAGTAAGGGCAAATCACCATTCGGTATTCGGTGAATTTCTTGAGCTCCTCCAAAGTCTTCGAAAGCTCGGTAGGGGCTACACCGATACTCCTGTACGCTTGCGCTGCCGTTTTTTTATAGAACAATACGTACCCAGTGAGAGTCGACGTGCTCGCTGTTTCAGCTGAGCTTGGCAATGCTGGCCATTCTGCTCTTATGCTAGTTGAACTCAACGGAGTTGCTTGCTGAACAAGTGGTGACGAGAACACTATAAGATAATGAAGTAAATGAATCGTACATTATTGCATTGGTAAGCATTTGACTACGGTACACATGGTTAGCATGAATGACCAGACGAGAGTTGTTTTCACTGGGATTGGTGAATTATGGCTGCTCGTTTTTCCGTAGAATTACCGAAAATTATCAATATGGACTGGTAAAGGAATGGTATAGCCGATGACGTATATACTCTGACGGAACACGCATCATACGGATTACCGTGACCCGATGGTCACGGAAAGAACTGGGAACTATTTTCCCTTTCTACCAACAACGAATAAAACATCAACGTGTAAAACAACAGCAAGTTTAATTTAGTTGGGATTATTCAAAATGGCCTCAATTGGCTTCACCTATTTATAGCAGATGCCTAAACCAGCCTTTGGTATAGATCAGTAGCAATAATTTTGATAAGCAGTCCAGAGACTTACCATTTGTTGAAGTCATGCTGTGTAGAACTGTTTCCGTTGCTGAATCCAGCAATTTATCTTGGAGAACAACCAGCTCATCACCGGCAAGCGACTGATATTTAAGATCCAATTTGCAATTCACTTTATTTCCCACTCCCGCGCTGAAATAAACGAGAGTTGATTGTGGGACATCCGTGCAAGGAAGAATTATACTACAATTTTATCCAATCAGACAGCTTGACGTATATCACGTGATGAGTTAACACATCCTAGTTAACACATTGAAAGTTTCCTCTCAGCCCTAGTAACCGCGCGGGTGGCCCTTACCTGCACGATGTAAAAGTGATGTCTGGAGGATATGCCTCGTACACAGAATTTATCTATAAAAGAGTTAATGTTAGTGATATTCATTTTCCCACAACCACGTTATTGAAGGCTGTCCTGGATAGTTGGAAGAGTTGGAAGGGTTTGAGCTTGGCTCATTTACACACGACGCGCGCGAGGGCTGACATGGATCCATGATATTTAATGAAAAATCCAGGCCATACGCGGTGCGTCAACATAATGACGAAGTGTTGTAAGTTTTAGAAATCCTATTTCACGTTTCCGGGTTCCTGAATGCGCACACTCACCATTCCCTTCACTGAGTTTTCGAATGAGGTGACGTCACTGTTATATTCAGTCATCGTTACGCTTTCGAAGGTCACATCCAACAGAATGTTAGCAGCTAAAAGGGCGAAGCAAAAACACAGAGGTTAATAGACAAAGCTATGATCTAGATACAAGAAGGAATGAAATCACCACAGCTAAAAAGAGCATACCGAAATTGTGGGTACGAGGTTGGCTAATTTTGGTTGCAAAATGTGAAGTAGTATGGAAAATATGGCCATGCAAAGTACGGATTTTTGTATACTTTTTTACTACGGCCAGAAGCGTGCAACTAAATTAGTTACACTGACAGCGAAATAGAGGAAAATAAGAAGTAGACATAAGACTCTGAAATCTTGCGGCTTCAAGTTTCAAAACTCATAGACATAGGGCTTTGTATTTGAAAACCTCATTCCAGCATGGAATCTAATAATGCACTGACTTACGTGAACAAGATAACGTGTTGCAATCATTGGCCTCATAGGAAGGACCAGTGCAGTTCTTTCCACCATACATCGGGGTTGGGTTGGTACACGAACGCTTCCGATCAGAGGTACCAGTTCCACAAGGTTTGTTACAGAACATCCAGGGACCCCAATTAGTGTAGCCTCCGTCAACTACGAGAAATGGAATCATCATAAACCAATAATAAACCAATACATGTTGCAAATTTGATGGTATATTTTCCTGACGGAAAACAAAGAAATTTGACCAACTTTTTATCATTATGAATTGTTAAGAGAGTCACACCCCTTTCCCAGACCCCTGGTTACCACGCCCCTGAGTGCAAGGATAAAGCCACTTACTAGGACAATGATGTGTGTTGCAGTAGTTTAAGTCATGGCCCGGTCCTTTACACGGTGAACCACCATGAGCTGGACTTGGATTGTTACATGATCTGCCTCGCACTCGAGTTCCGTTTCCACACTCCTTGGTACAATTTGTCCAAGATGACCACTCGCTATAGTTTCCATGAACTATTTTAAATATCAACAATATGAATTTATTAACAAAGTTAATCTTAACCCTATACTGTAAGTCCCAACACTAATCCCAACACTAATCATTGAAAAAACATTTTTTGAATGCCCTCGAAAAGTATATTCAGTAGGCTTAAGCAGTGGACTCTATAAAAATTGGAACGATAAC